CTCATGACTGATCCCCTCTTGTAGTCTCATGAACACAGGAGCAAATCAGGAGTTCGTCTCACGAACAACAAAGGGTAATGTATCATACTTAAAATGTATTAATATTTTATCTTAAGTTTATACTTATGGCTCCTGCACACAGGATGCGGTAATGCTTGCCGTGCGGCGGAAGTTCGCACGACAGCCAATCAATATACTGCTTTCCGTAATAATCTTCTAGCTCTTACGGAAAAACAACATATTGATTGGCTGTCGCGCGGACTTCCGCCGCGCGGCAAGCATTATCGCGTCCTGTGTGAAGGAGCCATTAGATGTGAGTTTTTCAGCTGAATCAAGATTATATATAATATATCACATATTTCATTAGGTTCAATTAAAATAAATTATTCAAGCTCTTTGCAATCTTTGATAATTGCAATCTGATCATCTGACGTGGACAAGTTTCAAGTAATAACTATTAATACAGACTCAGTACTTGTTTAAGGAGAGTTTGAGAATCTCAAATAATTAATAAACTGAAATGGGTATATATCAGTTGGACACGGTGCAATTGGACACAGTCCAATCACAAGTCGTTGTTCCAAGGGACCCTACAAATATCTCTAATCATACGGTGCTGTGATTGGCTGTGTCCAAATGCACCGTGTCCAAGTGCACCGCTCCCAACTGAAATAATATGTTACATAATTCTTTAAATAAAGAAGATAAAATATTAATACATTTTAAGTATGATACATTACCCTTTGTTGTTCGCGAGACGAACTCCTAGGACTCGATATTTGACGATGTACATATGAGATACGCATGCGAAAATCTACAATATACGTAAACATACGTATACATTTTTGCATGCGTATCTCATTCGCATACCGTCAAGAATCGAGCCCTTAATCTGCTCCTGTGTGCATGAGGGTGCGATTAGATGTAGCGCGGTATGCGGTATGCAGTATGCGGAACGCGGTAAAGTAACTAGAAACCGCGCGCGGTGAGCCGCGCCTGTTTTCTTCCTCCTATTACATGGAGCAGAAACTTGCGCGGAAAAGCGGCACAGGCTAGTGACAAATTCTTATTTGTTTTCATTTTCTAAAATGTATTAACTTATTTCTATGCACATTTTACGAATATTCTTATTTTTTTCAACAAATTTACTTATTAATTGCATTTAAATCAATTCCATTTAAAAGTGCATAGAAATGGAAATTTATCACTAGCCCGTGCCACTTTTCCGCGCAGTTTCTGCTCCATGTAATAGGAGGAAGAAAACAGGCGCGGCTCGCCGCGCGCGGTTTCTAGTTACTTTACCGCGTTCCGCGTACCGCGTACCGCATACCGCGCTACATCTAATCGCACCTTGATGGCTCCTGCACACAGGACGCGTTAATGCTTGCCGCGCGGCGGAAGTTCGCGCGACAGGCAATTAATATGCTGCTTTCCATAATAACTTTTTAGCTCTTACGGAAAAACAACATATTGATTGGCTGTCGCGCGGCAAGCATTACCGCGTCCTGTGTGCAGGAGCCATAAGACTGTAAGAGCAAGAGCAAGAGCAGACCATAGAATATTATAGTTATAGATGGGAGATTATACTATTCTCTCGGATCCAGATCTCACTCACTCGTTATCGTAAGCACCCTCGATTTCCGTAATCTCTCGAACGAGATTCTTTTTATAATCTTGTGCTGGAATTCTGTAACTCGTTATTGGAGTTAACGACAGTTTCGTTATCGTTACGTAGCTTTTCTACGGTATACAAAAGCTGCGCAACGATAACGAAACTATCGTTAACTCCAATAACAAGTTACAGATTAGGGCTACTGTAGTGCGATTCTGTAACTCGTTATTGGAGTTAACGACAGTTTCGTTATCGTTACGTAGCTTTTCTACGGTATACAAAAGCTGCGCAACGATAACGAAACTATCGTTAACTCCAATAACAAGTTACAGATTAGGGCTACTGTAGTGCGATTCTGTAACTCGTTATTGGAGTTAACGACAGTTTCGTTATCGTTACGTAGCTTTTCTACGGTATACAAAAGCTGCGCAACGATAACGAAACTATCGTTAACTCCAATAACAAGTTACAGATTAGGGCTACTGTAGTGCGATTCTGTAACTCGTTATTGGAGTTAACGACAGTTTCGTTATCGTTACGTAGCTTTTCTACGGTATACAAAAGCTGCGCAACGATAACGAAACTATCGTTAACTCCAATAACAAGTTACAGATTAGGGCTACTGTAGTGCGATTCTGTAACTCGTTATTGCAGTTAACGACAGTCTCGTTATCGTTGCGCAGCCTTTCTACAGTACGAAAAAGCTGCGCAATGATAACGAAATTGTCGTTAACTGCAATAACGAATTACAGAATCACACTACTAGGCCGCTATTCCGTTACCCACGTATCGACAGTTGTCGAATCGATAGGCGCAGTTTTTCTACGGTATAAAAAAGCTGCGCAACGATGCCTATCGATTCGACAACTGTCGATACGTGGGTAACAGAATAGCGGCCCTGGGACTCGATTCTCTAACTAGTTGCGTATACGTAAGTTTTACTGCGCAGCTATTTTATAGTATGATTAAACCTGCGCAATAAAACTTACGTATACGCAGTTAGTTAGAGAATCGAGCCCCTGATCGAACTTCACCCGCTTCGCGGGCTCGCTCGATTATTTCATAATGGTGTACGCTCAGGAAATTTGCACACTAATCCTTCAGTGAGTTTCAGGATGGCAAATAGCGATAATACGTTTGGCTTTGAGCTCTTCTCCAAATTGCATCATTGTGAAATCCAGAAAAAAGAAGACATAATAATTATATTTGTGCACTGGTATTTGGTAAAATATGGATTTCGATGTATCGGCATTGGGGATAGTGTAAGTTTTGATCATTATATCATTCGCTATATCATATCCTGCAATAATATTAAAATGTTATGACTTTTTTAAAATTTTATGTGAGATCATTATCAATATTTTTTATTAGTATCTTCTATTGTGGAAGATTCTAACCTATAATGTCTTATCAGAATGTCATTTTCTAAGGGTTAATTGTTCCAACTTCTTGATAAGCTACTTGACAGTTATATCTGTCTTCGTTTTTTTTCAAATTGGATAGAGATAGACACATGGTTTAACTCAAGTCATGTTGCTTACCAAGAAGTTGAAACAATCGGCCCTAAAGCAACGTTTCGTTTCACGCATATTCGCGTATTTATCTATAATTCATGTCGTGTATACTGTACAAAATGCGCGCATATGCGTGAAACGGAAAGTAGCCTAAAAGTAATGTATGAATTTGAATTCTACAGAATGTTTTCAACGCATCGCAGAAAGGATCAGAATTACTTCCAAAAGACTGGAATACTGGACCTAGTTATGCATTACGTTATGTAAAAAATGATACATTGTACTTATTCAGTGGAATCAAATCAGATAATGAGATACTTATAAACCTTGTGGTAATTTACAGAAGTATATGATAAAATGAAAAATAATGCATCATTAAATTGATAACAATTATGTGTATATATATATGATATTATATTACTTGATATCACTTTTGCAGAAACTTGATAATGATACTATTTCTAATATTGCATTTCCAATTGAAGAAACTGTATCTGCATTACATGGATCTCTAAAAACTGTGATACCATCCTATGAGACCATTTTACATCAATTACAAAATGAACTTTTAAAACCATTTATGCTGACAGAAAATACTATGGAAGCAGGGACTCAAACAAATACAGGCAGTACTTTTTCACTTCCAACAAATTCTAGAAATCCACGGACATATGAATCTATCTGGAATCCTTTACAGCGGTAAATTAAGTTTTAATTAATATGTACAAATAACTCAAGTTTTGATCTTTTAACTGTACATTTCAAACAAAATTAAGATTTCTATATGGGAATTTTTCTCTTGATAAGGTTCCTAATTTCAATAGTACAAAACATTTATGTTATTGTACAACATTTTTCTCTATAATATACTGTAAAAACATTGCACAGCATTGACGATACAAATCACAATAATATTTAACCTTAAGACTCTGGTGTTGTGCTTTGACTTGAAATAGAACTTTAATGCAAAAAATTCTGCTTTAAACTCTCACTGTATTATGTATACTTTTGATAGGGAGAGATCGTTATCCAATCAGTGAATCAGTTGTTACAAAAATTTTAGTCTTTTCTCCTTTATTTTTTTTATATCTTCCTTTGATATTATAATCTCTTATTATGACTTAAAGTAGCGTAATCCATATTTATGTAGCCCACCTAACGTTGATCCTGGAAGAGTAGGTTCAGCAGATCTTTATCCGCCACATGGTGGACATATCGGTGGTATGATATTCGATCCTTTCAGCAATCGTCCACGTGTTCTAGATGAAGGTCCAGGAATACCCGGAAGATTGCCGCCGTATGTAAACGTGATTAAATAAATTTCTTTAATTAATTTTGACTATAAATGTAGTTTATATATATATATATATATATATATATATATATATATATACACATACATATATACAGGGTGTTGAAAAAAAGGGTCACATATTTTGATAGCAGGTAGTATTGATCAAACAAAGACGAAAAGTTCTAATTAATATGGGTCCTAAGACTAATATCTTCTAAGATACAAGCTATTTTGTTATTTGAGCTCTTTGTCATTTTCTTATTAGTCGTGTCATCTTTAGAATGTAATGATCAAAGGAGTAGGGGAGAGTAGGGTACAATGGGGATATCTTTTTTCTAGGTGCCTTAAAAAATAAAAAAATTAACAAAGAGAGATAAAGAAACAATTTTTATTTTAATATGAAATGTAATCATTTATCTTCCATAAAAAAACTGAAGTAAAGAAACTAAATGTATGTAAGAAACAAAATAAACTCTTTTTTTACAAAAAAAATTTTAATGCTGAAACATACGCGAGTGAATGGCAATCACATAGAGCACCTCCTCTAATGCTGAGTCAGCATTAAAATTTTTTGTTTTTTGTAAAAAAAGTTTTTATTTTGTTATCATACATTCAGTTTCTTTACTTCAGTTTTTTTATGGAAGATAAATGATTACATTTCATATTAAAATAAAAATTGTTTTTTATCTCTCTTTGTTAATTTTTTATTTTTTACCCTCCCCCCTACTCCTTTGTTCATTACATTCTAAAGATGACACGACTAATAAGAAAATAACAAAGAGCTCAAATAACAAAATAGCTTGTATCTTAGAAGATATTAGTCTTAGGACCCAT